AAAAAAACTGTATACATTTAAAAAAATAAGTAAAAAATGAAAGGGATGTGAACCTTGGAAGACAAAAATTGGGATTAAGGGTTGCCTGGATACCCCATGTGGGACTTCTCCTTCAGCCCCACCCAGCCTTGGAAAATTAGGCCCTTGGTCCATGAAAGAGAGCATAGGCTTCCCAATACTTCCATGCACATGCTTGAGCCTTTTCTGTGTACCTCTTTAGAATGCCAGCCATTTTCCCACAACTCACTCAGTGGCAGTGGCAAGGGCAGGGGACTAGGGAAAAGAAAGGCCCAGGCCTGAGATGCCAGCCACTCTTTGGGACATCCACAGGGCCAGTGGCCCCTAATACAAGACTGCCAAATTCGAGAAGGCTGAACTCTAGAAATAATCCTAACATTCATGATAATATAGTAGCAATAACGTCCACTACCATTTATTGAGCAGTTACAAAGTATCAAGACTCTTTCAAGCACTTTCCTGGGACCACATAACTGAATCATCATAACGCCTTGAGTGTGGTGCTATCAGGATCCTCACTGTCCAGATGAAGACACGGAAGTTCAGGGAGGTGACAAGGTCAACACAGCCTGGATTTTCACCTCTGACTCCAGAATCTCAGCTCTTTTAATTATAACAAGTCTCTTTAAAAAATTCTGAACCCTTTCCCTTTCCCAACTTCCCTTCTTCCCATCCAAAAGGGGAGGAGTGTCTCTAGGTTCCTAGTCCTACCCCATTCATCCCTGAAAGCGGGGAGCTTTGCAGCAACCATGGTCCCTCTCACTAGCCTCTGTCTCCCGAGGAAGGAACAGGTTCCCACGAATTCTCTACAATCTCACTATTCAAAATACGGTCCATACACCAGGAGCATCAGCCTCACCTAGGAACTTAATTATGCCTATCTATGAATGGGCCCCACCCCATATCTGCTACATCAGAATTTCTATCTAGTGTTTCATCAAGCCCTCCAGGGGTTTCTTATGCCCTCTAGAATCAGAACCACAGCTCTACACGGCCCCCATTGTAACCTGCACGGGAGAGAGTACCTAACACCTGCTTCCGCCTTTAAAGCTCCCATAAAGCCGACTCGTGACAATCCATCTTCCGCGACGCCCCATGCCCGGCTTCTGAAACTACAACTCCCACAAAGTCCAGAGGCGCTCATCGTCCTTTTACGTGACTACAGTTCCCAAATGTGTTTCGCGAGCCAGACCACCATCATGGCGACCACCCGCCCCGACAGCATGAGGACTACAACTCCCACAGTGCTCAGCGGCAGAAGTCCCGCCCCCAGCGGCTCCCGAAAAGCGCCACGTCCGCTCAGCTGGGTGGGGCCCGGCTCTGGCAGGGCCCGCGGGGTCTGCAGTGCCCAGGGCTCGTTACAGTTGTTCTACCCTTCACGGCGCAGACATGGCGGCTGAGAAGGACCAGCAGAAGGATGCTGAGGCGGAAGGGCTGAGCGCCACGTGAGCAAGCCTACTCTAGCTCCCAGGACCGAGACCCGGGAGTTCTGGCCCTCTGCCCCCTCCTCCCTCGGGCCCCAGGAAGCTGGACCCCCAGACACTAGAGTCTAGGCCCCTGGTCTCCTCTTCTAGGACTCTGGAGTCTCGGCCCTCGGCCCCCTCTTCCCCTGGGATAAAGGAGTCTCAGACCCTTGCCCCCTCCCCCTCGCAGAACCCCGGGGTTTGGGCTCCCACATCCCCCTTTTGCTGGGGGTCCGGCCTCGGTCTTGGTCTACCGCTGATCTGGCCCCGCCCACCAGGACCCTGCTGCCGAAACTGATCCCATCCGCCGCGGGCCGCGAGTGGCTGGAGCGGCGCCGCGCGACCATCCGGCCCTGGGGCACCTTCGTGGACCAGCGGCGCTTCTCGCGGCCCCGCAACCTGGGCGAGCTGTGCCAGCGCCTTGTACGCAACGTGGAATACTACCAGAGCAACTATGTGTTTGTGTTCCTGGGCCTCATCCTGTACTGCGTGTGAGTGCCTCTCCACCCGCCTCCGCCAAGTTTACTGGTCGGCCCCGCCCTCAGCCGCCAGCCCCTCCTCTCCCTGGCCCGGCACCGTCCCATGGGATAGCCCTGCCAGACGTGAGCTCACGGAAGGGCCAGGCCTCCCCCATCAGCTTGACCAGGACGCAGTGTGACTATATGTGACCTGAACTTGCCTGGCCTCAAGGACATACATAGCCTGCCATCCGCCGGTGTAGAAGTACAGGGTCCCCCTGGCTGTGCCAGCGCTAGCTACCTGACCAATGCTTCCCTACCCTCTTCCAGGATGACGTCCCCCATGCTGCTGGTGGCTCTGGCCGTCTTCTTTGGCGCCTGTTACATCCTCTATCTGCGCACATTGCAGTCCAAGTTTGTGCTCTTTGGTGAGAAATCCCCTGCCCAGATGGATCCGTGATCCCTCAAATTCTGGTCTCTTGGAACAAGCGCCTTAGACCCCAAACCCAAGTCTACCCAAGCCTCGATCTACACTAGATCCCCCATACTCGGTCCCTTAAAATCTCAGATGCACCAGATGCTCCCACCCAGCCTCAGCCACCCGAATTGCTGTTCCCCAAAGCTAGAATGAGATACCCTAGAGCTCACTCTCCACCTAGCTGCTGTCCCTTAAATCTCCCGTCTCCCTCCTCCCTCATTTCTGCAGAAAGCATCAGCTGCAGGTACGCACATTAGGCACCAGGTGGCGATCTTACACTGGCCGAGAGCTGTCCCCCTCCTCTGTCCTGCTTCCTGGGTGGGACCAGAAAGATCTTGGGACTTCTCAGAGAGGGAAGCGGAGGCCTGTGGCCCATATGGTCCCAGACTGTCACCAAACACCATTGAGCCCCCACCTAAGGGAAGCTCAAGGTTTGGAGTGGGGACAGGGAGAAATTGGGATCAGATAAGCAGGTAGTCCTGAGACAGTCCTTCCGGGGCCTGCAAGTTATGTACATGACAAAGGTGGGCTGGTGGAGAGGCATGGTGGGCAAGCACAAGGCATGGAGAGAGCTCCTGGAGCATAGCCACCACCTGGCTTCAGCCACTGCTGCCCCCTCGGGCCTGCAGACCCAATTTTACTCTGCCGCAAGACACCAGAAATCTATTGTTATGTGAAATCATTCAGTTTCTCTGTCAGCCATTAATCAAATTCTTGGGGAACATTGTACAGACTCAAAAAAAACTTCCATAGGTCAGACTTGGCCCTTGGGCCACCAGTTTGAGACTTCTGGCGGACAGTAGGGACATTGGAGAATGGGTGGGGCCAGGGCTTGGGGAGCCTTGGCATGAGGAGTTTGGATGATCCTAAAGCTCCCAAGAGCTTGTGACATCAGACTGTTGGGGGGCATCCGGGATTACTCTGGGAGAGGGCACGCATGTCTGAACAGCTGCCCCAATGCCATCTGCCCCCAGGCCGAGAAGTGAGCCCTGCCCATCAGTATGCTCTAGCCGGGGCCGTCTCCTTTCCCTTCTTCTGGCTGGCTGGTGCAGGCTCGGCTGTCTTCTGGGTCCTGGGTGAGTATAGAGTCTGGATGGGGGGGGGGCGGAGGGAAGCCAGGTGAGGGATCAAGGCTCTGAACTGCCTGTTTTCCTGCAGGAGCCACCCTTGTGGTCATCGGCTCCCATGCCGCCTTCCACCAGATCGAGGCCGTTGAGGGGGAAGAGCTGCAGATGGAGCCAGTGTGAGGTGTCTTCCAGAACCTGCCAGCCTCCCGAGCCAGCTGCCCCATCCCTGTTCACCCCTGTCCCGCATGGCTGTGCTGCTCTAGCCAAAGGCCCCCCTCCCATCACAAGCCTAGGGAGGGAACCAGCTTTGGAAATAAAGCTGTTTGTAGTTGTCATTCAGCACATAAGCTCCCAGTATCCGTGGATCTGTGTGGGGTGATACTGGGGTACTGGGACAGGGGGACATGTGGTGAGGGGAAGTCAGTAAGCAAGATAAATAAGATATGATAGGATGGCCAATGGTGGTAAGTGCCAAGGAGGAGAAAAGAGTTGGGGAGGGCCGGCTGAGTGGCGTGTTGGTTAGGAGTTGCTTGGGACACCAGCTCTGAGCATTAGGGCCCCGGTTTGGATCGCACATTAGGGCCAGTGAGGCTGCGCCCTCTACAGCGAAGGTGGTGAACAACAGCTCAGCCTGGAGGTGGGCTACCGTAGGCAGCAGTGGGTCTGGCCAACAGCTGGCGTGAGTTTTCATGAGCAGCCATCCAATGGCCAGCAAGTGACTGCCTTACCCAGGAAGAGCACAGTGATAATATCAACATGGGCCAGTGAAGCGACATCCTCCACAACTAGACTGAAGAACAAAAAAGGACAGCAACTTGTCTATTCCCCTTCCCTGATTCCCCAACACTGTTCTCCCCCAATTCCCCAATAAAATCTTTAAAACAAAAAAAAAAAAGTTGGGGAAGGAGACTGTGCCAGGTGTTCCCCAGGCCACCCCCCTGTTCGATGATTTGCTAGGACTCAGTATACAGCAGGACTCACAGCTGTGATTTATTATGAAAGGATACAAAGCAGAATCAGCAAAGGAAAAAGGCACATGGGATGAAATCAAGAGGAAACCAGGCATAAGCATCCCAGAGTCCTCTCTCAGGAGTCAGAGGACGTTCTTATGTCTTCCAGCGGTGAACTGTGACAACACGTGAAATGTCTGCCAGGGAAGCTCAGTAGAGACTCAGTGCCCAGGCTTTTTATTGGGGGGTAGCCACATAAGTACCCTCCGTCTAGCATGGACCAAAACTCCAGACTCCCAAGAGGAAAGCAGGTGTTCCCGCGTAAACATCCTTTGCAGTTTAGACAACGCCAGCCACTTATCAGGGAATGGTGGGAACCCTCCTGAAATCCAAGTCCCCAGATGCCAGCCAAGGGCCAGCTATGCAAGCAGGCCTCTCTAAGGACAGGGGTCTCAGGACTACTATGTATCTGGAGAAAGTTCTGGAGAAGAATTACAGGTTAAAGAAGGCCTTCCTGCTATGATGTCATATGAAGACCTTGACTGAGCCATGAAGCAGCTGCAGGTCCTTGGAAGGGAGAATGTTCTGGGTAGAGGAAGCAGTGAGTGGGTGCAAGGCCCAGAGATGACAGTGTGCCGGGAGGTCTGAGGGGTTAGGAGGCCGGTGTGGCCGGAGCAGATGAGCTGGGGGAGAGTGGGAGACTTGCAGGCTTCAGTGTGTCTTTCGTTTTTACACAGTGAGCTGAAAAGGACACAGTTTGTTTTCATTGTCATGAGAAGATGGTCATGTGAAAATGCTAACAAAAGAGAAACACACCTGGTAGGAAAAGCACTAGGCAAATGTGACAACAAAGAGGGCCTGAAAAGCTTCTCTGAGAAGATGACATTTCAGTGAGCCCTGAGGGACACGAGCCAGCCACAGGAAGAGCTGCAGGTGGTGTTCCAAGCAGAGGCACGGCCTCTCCAACCTCATGTCACCAAAACTCAGTTTCATATCATTCATTCAGCAAGTGTTTATCGAGTGAGTACCCACTGACTGACAACCCAGCGTTCTGGAACCCTTCTGTCACATATGGTGGCCACTTGAACATGGCTGGTCCAAATTGAGATGCACTAGGGTAAAATACACACCAGATTTCAAAGGCTTAGGAGGCAAAGTGCATAAAATGTCTCAATAAATTTTTATATTTGTTATTTGTTGGAAGGATATTATGTTAGATATACAGGTTTAAATTATTTTCTCCTTTTTTTCTTTAAGAAATGTGGGAGCGGCCAGTTACCTCAGGTGGTTAGAATACAGTGCTCATAACACCAAGATTGCTGGTTCAGTCCCCACATGGGCCGCTGAGCTGAGCCCTCTATGACTAGATTGAAACAACTACTTGGAGCTGATGGGTCCTGGGAAAACACACTGTTCCTCATTTTTTTTTTTTAAAGATTTTTTTAATTGGGGAATTGGGGGATGGGAACAGCGCTGGGGAATTGGGGGAAGGGGAACAGACAAGTTGCTGTCGTTTTTGTTCTTCAGTCTAGTTGGAAGGCAGTGTCACTGGCCCTCATATGTGGGATCCGAACCGGGGCCCTCTGGCGTCCCAAGCCAGTTCTTAACCATCACGCCACTCGGCCAGCCCTGTTCCTCATTTTTTTTAAAAGTGATTAAGTAGAAAATGTGAAGTTATATCTGTGGCTTGTTTTCTATTCCTACTGGACACACTGGCTTAGATGCTCGGGAAATGTCAGGGCCACAAACAAACCAGGCCCTTTCAGAGCACCCATTCAATGAGAGAGGCACGATACACCAACCAACCAACAACAGGTAACACAGACAGTGATAAGCCCTCTGAAGCCAATAAAACTGGACTGGGCGAGGCTAGAGAGTATTTGAGAAGGGCAGGAGCTCACTTAGATGGGGGAGGTGGGGCCTTGCTGGGCAATAAGAAAATTGTCCCTTGGAGGGCTGGGAAAGACTATTCCAGCCTCTCAGGACCAGCAAGTGCAAAGGCCCTGAGGTCAGACCTGCTGTGACAAGGCACACTTAGGAGTGAGGGGACAGCCTCAGGAGACAATGGTGGGGAGGGTGTTGGGGGCCAGATCATGTAGGACCTGCAAGCCATGGTGAGGTCTTTGAATTTTAGCTTAAGGTAATGTGGAACTATGGAAGGGTTTTGAGCAGGGGAGGGAACGGAGTCGGGTGTGAACGTTAGAAATATCCCTTTGGGGTCTTGTGGGGATGGGCTGGAGGAAGTGAGACCAGGAAGGATAAGCCAAGCTGGGGAAGATGAGGCAGGGACGTGGAATGGCGAGGAGGGACAGGGAAGGCCCGCTGCTGGGCCTGGAGTGCATATGGTCAGGTGTCTTTTTGGAGGTGACTGAGGTCAGGGGCTCAGGGACCTGGGACTGGTATCACTGAGTCCAAGGTAGAGATATTTGGGGTGGTAGGGAAGACAGGAGGAGGGTCGGGGCTTGGTGACTGACCTGCATGGGAGCTGAGTGGGAGGGAGCAGGCAAGGATGACCCCCAGGCTTCTGGAAGACCAGGAGACCTGCATATTTGGGTCCACACTGGTCCTAGACAGCTACCAGGGGTGCACTTCCAGTGATAGCCACCAGAGGGCGGAAAAGTACTTCCTCCAGACCTCCAGCGGGGGAGCCAGAGTTGTACTTGTCCTGGGAAATGAGACCTAGGTGCCTGAGGCCCAGAGGCAGGCACCTGGGTCTACTCCAAGACCAGCGTCCCAATCCCAATTTGGGGGTAGTGGAGAGCGTTTTGTCTGTCGATCCAGTTACCAGTGTTCCTAGGGGAGACTGAGTCTTTATGCCCATAGCGGTGAGTGGTCACTAGGTCAAGTTTATGCTTCTGGTCTTGAGTGCATATGATCAAGTGCCTTGCTGGAGGTGACTGAGGCTGGGGGCCCAGGGACCTGGGACTGAGATTGCTGAGCCAAAATGTCAGCAGCCTGGAGCTGGGGGAGAGCAGGAGGCTGAGACTCAGTCCAGAGGCCTAATCTGGGGGTGACTGACTGCAGGTCCCTAATCCTGATGTTAAGTATTTGAGATGCTGAGACCAGAAGCTTCCATACAGGATGGTCAAGACCGGGGGTCCATTTCCCCAGACATCCCTTTCTGAATGACCTTGGGGTTGAGAGGTTTGTTTTGGGGTAACAGAAACTGGGGGCTTGGTGTTTCATTGAGGGGACAGAGACCAAAAGTCTGGTTGTCTATTTTGGTGACAGGGGCTGGGGGTCTAGTTGGATGGTTGGGAGTGACAGATTGTGGATCTAGTTATTGACTTGACTAAAGAAACCATAGGCCCAAGTTAAGGGACAGGGACAGGGGATCCAGTTGTCCAGTGTAGAGTGACTGAGCCAGGGAGTGACTGCACCTCATTTTGGGTGTCAGACTGGGCTTCTGGTTGTCTTGTTGGGGTGACAGCTGGAGTCACCTGGGGTAATAGAAATAGACAGCTGGGGTAATAGAAATTGGGGATCTGTTACCAAGTTTGAGATGACAGAGATTGGTGGTCATTTATCTAGCTTGGGTTGACAGAGAAGGGAATTCTTTTTTTTTTTAATTGGGGGATTGGGGGAGGGGAACAGTGTTGGGGAATCGGGGAAGGGGAACAGACAAGTTGCTGTCCTTTTGTTCTTCAGTCTAGTTGTGGAGGACGTCGCTTCACTGGCCCATGCTGGTATTATCATTGCTCTCTTCCTGGGTGAGGCAGATTGGTCGTCAGCCCAGAACGGCCACTCACGCCAGCTGCCAGCCACTCACAGTAGCTTTACTGCAGCCCACTGCAGCCCACTGCAGCCTACGCCATCTCCAGTGACTCCCGGCAGCCCAGCTCCAGGTCGAGCTGTTGTTCACCATCTTAGCTGTAGAGGGCGCAGCGTCACTGGCCTTAATGTGGGATCCAAACTGGGATTCTGCTGCTCAAGGCTGGCGTCCCAAGCCAACTCTTAACCTATGTGCCACTTGGCCAGCCTGAAAAGGGAATTCTTAAGGCCTGGGTTTCTAGGTGGAAAATTTGGGGTGATGACACTGGGGGTCTAGGGCCCCAATTTGGGATGACAAGATAGGGTGTCCGCTTGGCTATAGGCAATGTGATTAGGGTCTAGTGGTTTCCTTGAGGCACCAATGCTGTCTAGTTGGTGGTGACAGAACCTGGGAGTCCTGTTATATGTAATTTGGGACAATAGAAATTGTGGGGGTCTCATTGCCTAGCTTGAAGTGACAGTGACTGGGAGGATCCTTTGTTTAGTTTGGGAAAAATCTGCTTGTCAAGTTTGGTGTTGATAATACAGTGGATTTATTTCCCCAATTTTTTTTTAAGGTTTTTATTGGGGAATTGGGGAGATGGGAACAATGCTGGGGAACTGGGGGAAGGGGAACAGACAAGTTG